CGCGGGGCGGCTGTCGCGGGGCGGCTGTCGCGGGGCGGCTGTCGCCGTGCAGTGCAGCTGTCCTGCGTCTGACCTCAAAGTGCACAAGCTTCAAACTTCAGCGTTGGCTGCGATTTTGACGCTGAAATCGCGTTCGGTGTGAACGCACCATTAGACAACTTATCCCAACTTAGAATGTTTTATGTCTAAATGACTAATTTTACTTAAAGTACTGGTTAACATACACTTTATTTTGAAATTGTTGAAAATTTGAGAAATGTTTTTGTTTGTTTTTGAAACTGTTTTGCAATATATATAAAACATTATTTTGTACTTATGTTATGTTCATTTGCACTACAGCAAAAATGCTGGGTTTATGATTACAGTTTTCTGCAAAATAAATGCTCAAAAAATTAGATTATCTTTACTTTTTACGATACTTCTCTACCGTGATATATACCGTTACCGTGAAGGGATCCAATTTTTACCGTGACATGAATTTGAGGTCATACCGCCCGCCCAGCCCTAGAACACAACATTAATTAATTCAATCATAACGAGTGTTTGCRTGCACCAGTTACAAACTTTCCATAAAAAATAACACGGAAGAAGGAGTTCTACTTCTGTGATGAACATAAACAAATATTCTGTCTTCTGAGCCCCCAGAATGAACCTGGGCCAGGTTTTATTCATGGTGGAGCCTTTCTTACGCTTCATGTTCCTACACTTTTGACTATCAAGGCGTTCGATAACTCTGAGCACTTTCAAATATTCTAATACAAATGTTGTATCGCTAACAGACTCATTTTATTTCCCAGACATATTATCATCTAGCCAGGCAGAAAAACGTCAGGTTGACATGCGGTGCACAGTCAGGTCACTTTCCCACACTCAGAATAATAGGGGTGTCCCGATCCGATATTGATATCAGATATCGGTCCGATATCATCCAAAAAACAAGTATCGGATTTTATCGGCCTGCATAAAAAATATCAGATATAAGCGCTCCGATATTAGCAGTTCAATCCAGCAGTCCACTGACTCCGCTCCAGTGTTTCTATCCAGCAGTGCTTGGATCCAGCATGCAGAGCTCACGTGATCACAACAACGTGCTGCGCTAACAAGTTAGCAAGAATGTCGGCAGCAGAACTTTCTATTTTCATCAGAAACAGAGTTGCAGCTAAGTGCAAAGTTGTCACGCACAAGTTTTCCGAGGGGGGGACACAGAACCGTGAACG